GCAGAAATCAAGAGTCGGACGGTCAACCGACTGAGCCACCCAGGCGCCCCGAATGGCTCTTATGTGAATAGACACAGGTTAATACATGCTGCTGTGCGTTGCTCCCTTGGGGAAGCATAGTTGAAAAACCAGAAATCTGGGCACGGCCACCAGCCAGCGGGAGAGTCCCTTACCCTCCCTGAGATTCTTATCTCTTCGGAGATGCCACATTCCTTCTTCACCACAGATCTTTCTAGTGCTGCTCTGCAAGAACAGGGTTGCAGGCTGCGGCCAGGGGTTAAAAGGCATGGCCCTTCGCAGGCTCCCTTCTCCGGCTCTCCGATGTCTAGACCCTGGCTGGCCACCGAGTATCAGACAAGGAATCCGACTTAAGGTTGTTGGGGGAACAAGGCAAACAGAGGCTTGGATGGCTCCGAGATGTGCGTGGCGCCTCTTTGGAAGTCGCTTAACTGGGGAGGGAGAGGGATTCTGAAACTTGGAGCGAGGCTGTTCGCCCGGCCAACGCCACTTCCCGAAAGCCTTGAATCTAAGACACCCACGCAGGGTGCAGACAACGCGCTCGGCCTCCCACTTGACTCCGGATGCCGCTTACGTGTCGCGCCTCTCCTGAACTGGGCACCCCGGAGCCCTGTCTTCTTGCCTTTCCTGGCCTCCTCACGTGCTCTCCACGGGCACCCCTGCACTCCCGTTACCCAAAGGCCAGGGGCTCCGCAGCCCCTCTTCCTGGTCTGCTGCCCTGTAAGCTGTCTGCCGCGCGGCCACTGGACGTCTCCCCTCCGATGTCCCACGGCCACGTCCACCCACCGTGTCTCATCTGCGCGCCCCACCCTCACTCCCGACTGCTCTCTCTCTCCGGGGTCCCTTTCATGGTGACTGGCAGCGGGACTCGTCACCAAGGCTACCCGGGGAGGCCTCCTGGACGCGTCCCCGCAGCTCTCTTCTCACACCCCGCCGACAATTTGCCCATGACTTTGCCTTTCCACGTATCGCTCCCGTCCGTGCCTTCCTCAGAGCACCGCTTCCTTTTTCAAGCCAACTTTTCTGTGGTGGGGTTCCCCGTCAGAAAAAAAACCCAAGCCCTTCAGGGTGACCTGCGAGGCCTGGCTGCCTTTCCAGTCTCTGGCCACTCCCGCCATCTTCGTCCCGGTCCTCCAGCCACCTTGAACTGCTGGCGGTTTGGCCCATGGTTCACAGGGCCTCCACTCTTCTGCAGGTGCACCTTGCCCCCATTGGCTTCCTCTCCTCGGGACTCCTCCCCCTCCGCCAACCCAGCCTCCTCGCCTGCCTGGCTCCCTCCTTCTCACTCTTCGGGAGTTCAAGGGGTAGCATTTTCTCCTCTCTCTGGAGGCTTCCTTGGCCCTCTCATCTAGCTCCGTGGCTCCTCCTAGGGGTTTCGATGGCATCCTGCAGTGCCCTTTACTGCAGCCTTAATGACACCATTTAAGGTGCTTCTCCAGAGGGGGGCAAGGTGATTATCTAGTGTCTGCTCCTGGCACGTGCCTGGCTCTCCATACGTGGGATAAATAAACACATTTGACAAGTCAAAGAGAGAAACTTGCTCCGAGTTTTCTCAGAGTGGCAGGGGGAATCTCAGAGTCTCATCGTATCCCGCCATATTCACGCGACTTGCAGCAGGTACAAATCCCGGTGGCTGTCCCCAGGTTCCAACAAATCCTCATAACTAGCTGAGTTCTTACACTTCCTTGTGCCACCTGTCACCAGCGCCCCCACTTAGCCGTGAGGAGCTGACCGACTGGCTGCCATCCAGCAGCTGGTGACTGACAGGTAACCTGGGCATCTTTGCTAAGTTTAAGAGAAATGAGGTAGATGGCAGAGGGTCAGCTGTCCGGGTACTGGGAGTCAAAGCTGATGCCTTCCCCTCGTGTATTCATCTGTGCCTCCAGCAGAAGCAGCTTGCAAGAAGAAAGAGAACGGTGGCTTGGGGTGAGGCCGAGAAGCCGGCCACGATGGCGATGGAAGGCAGTGAGGACGTGTGGACGAAGTGACTCTGAGGGGCGGTCCTTCAGGTTGTTCTGGAAAAATAGTTGCAGAGGCAACCAGTCAGAAAGGAGCCTGGTGCCCACTCCACCCCCCCCACCCCCTGCCCGCCACGACCCTTTATCTCTTGGCACTTTGGCTGCCATCAGATTAGTGAAATATTTCCAGTCCTGACAGAAATGACAGCCTCAAGAGGAAAAAAGTATGTTTTCGCACTGGATAAAAGATGAAAACAACTTGAAGAAGCAAACCCATTTCTATATAAGGGCTTGAGTACTTGCCTTGTGCAAAACGTTGTGAGTTAGTATCTTGGTCTCAGGGGTATACTTTTTCTCCTTGAATCTTTAGAGTTTTTTTTTTTCCAGAATTGCAAAGGACATTTCAGAAACCGTGTCTGAAGTCTCAAGTGCACGAGTACAGTCAGCTCTGTGAGCAGAAGAAAAGGGAAGGGTGTCTTACTGAGAGATGAGAAAGTTACTGACTTCCAGGGCGAATGTGCAACATGAATTAAGGTTGTTTTCTGTTTTGTTTTGTTTTGTTTTGTTTTGTTTTAAAGCTTGACAACTGTAATGCCTTAAAAAAAAAAACTCTAATGATTTTTGGAAAGTTGAAGCAAAGTGAATTTGATTACTCTGGTAATTAAAAAAGAATCCATTTGTTTAGACTGTATTTATATATTTTTCCAGTGCAAAAAGTATAGGATTTATGAAGCAATAATGAGTGGCAGGTGTGGTTTAGAAAAGAAATCTGAATGGAAATCGTTCCTTTCCACAGATAACAATATTTGACTTTAAAGTTGGTTGTTACACTGTTAAAGGAATCCACCCACATAAAGTAAAAGCTAAGTTATATCTCAAATCATAAAAGTGCTTTTTAATTTAAAAAAGATTGTCACAATGTGTTCCCTTGTAAGCATTAATAAGTAGCTTATTTTAAGAATTATGCTTAGATGGGGCACTTGGATGGCTCAGTCGGTTGAGCGTCTGACTCTTGATTTTGGCTCAGGTCATGATCCCAGGGTTGTGGGATCGAGCCCCGCATTTGGCTCTGTGCTGAGTATGGAGCCTGCTTAAGATTGTCCCTCTCTCTGGGGCACCTGGGACTTTGGCTCAGGTCACGATCTCATGGTTCAGGTCACGATCTCCTGGTTCAGGTCATGATCTCACAGTTTATGAGTTCAAGCCCCCTCTTCTCCCCACCCCCCACCCCAGTCATATATAAACAGTAAAGAGAAAAAAGATTCTCTTCCTCTGTCTCCCTCTGCCCCTCTCCCCTGCTCACACACTCTCTCTCTCTTAAAAAAAATATTTTGGAAAAATGTGCTTGTCCACACCTTTTTAGGAGTGCAGCTATCCAAATAACAAATGATTTTCAAACGGACGTTCAGAACACATTACAGTGGGTATTATGTTTAGAGCTTAGATATTCCTTTTTTTAATTTAATTTTTTAAATGTTTATTTTTTGAGAGACAGAGAGAGAGACAGACAGATGGACAGAGAATGAGAGGGGGAGGAGCAGAGAGAGAGGGAGACACAGAATTGGAAGCAGGCTCCAGGCTCTGAGCTGTCAGCACACAGCCCGACAAGGGGCTCGAACTCATGATCCGGGAGATCAGGACCTGAGCCGAAGTCGGACGCTTAACCGACTCAGCCACCCAGGCGCCCCTAGAGCTGGGATATTCTTATCGAAGATTATTCATTTTAAGATTCGACAGCACACAGAGTCCCTAAGATTAATACGTGTCCTCAGCTAGAATGTGCTTTCGTGTCCTTTCCCTATCCTTAGGAAGAAAAGCCAGGCCAGGACTTCCAGGTCCCCGCGAAGCATTTCCTCTTTGCTTCTCAAGAGCATCTCTCAGTTCCTGGGTTCCAATCTTCCTTCAGCCAGTTTTTAGCTGTGAGACCTTAGCTAGGTTGCTTAACTTTTCTGTGTCCCACCTTCATCCATCATTTGGGACTAAATAGTCTTTTCTTCGTAGGTGTGCTGGAGACTTAAACCTATTCATGTAAAGTTTTAGAAGGGCTGATGACTGGTGCCTGGTCGATCCTCAGTAGGTACGAGCAACCACCCTGGTCGATATTGGAAAGCTCTCACTTTTTGTGAAGAATCACATGAACGGGGCGGCGGGGAGGGCTTAGTTTTGAAACATCTTTTTAGTACATGCCCTCAGACTCTGCGGTAGAGCAAATCCCTTTCGGTGAACAGTCAATATTATTTAGATAAAATATCCTCTCGTCTCTGCCCTAGGATCCGTTGCCCTGCAACAAAATAAAAAGACAAAGGAGGGGGGGTGGAAATCCTGGCCAGGGGACAAGTTGCGGAATTGTTTTAAAGCGGTCATTGTATTCAGGTGGCCTGGAGGGACGTAAGGAGGAAATCAGAACCCATTGTGGGCCCATAAACCGTAAACCTAAACCCAGTGTCTTTTCAACTGAACAGATCGCTATCAGCCGACAGAGCCGACTCCTGTTCCTTTTTTTGCCCGGTCATTTCCTTTCCTGAGTGTCTGTAAGAACCACCCACTTGGGTGTTTCTCAGAATTGTAGGTTTTTAGGGCAAACAGAACCCCTGGAGAGTGCCTGGACGAGCCAAACGCACAGTGACACTGTGCGCGCGAGTGACGCTTTGGCTGACATCGACCCCCGCTGCGGTCCTGCCCCGATCTGTGTGGATTGCCTCCCGTGTGGCCGCCGGCAGCCAGGGGCCCAGGTTGGGAGCTCGGCTCGGAAGGGGGGCGGGGGTGCGGGTTTCCTGGTGGGCTGCAGGCTCTGCGTGAGAACCGCCCACTGCTCCGTTCACCGCCGAAGCTTACCCCTGGCCCCCCTCCCCTTGCTGCCTCTGTCCTCGGTCAGTCCAGAATGGACGAGACACCAGAGCCTCTGGCCATGACCGTCCACCTCCTGGCCAACTCTGGGCACGGCTCGCTTCTGCAGCAAACTCTCGACCGGCTCCTGGACTGCGTGTGCCCAGACGTCCGTCCCTTTCTGGTGTCAGAGCGGGTCCGGCCAGCGAAATACTACGACAGGGGCCACTCCAAGCGCTCACGGTTCCCGGGGATGTCTGTTTTGCTCTTCCTGCACGAGAGCCTCGGGGAGGAGCGGCTGTTCCGGGTCCTCGACTCCCTCCGGCGCTGGCCCTGGCAGTGCTACCCGGCCCCCAACGCTCCGGGGCGACCGTGTCCCTACGTTCTCGCCAAGCAGGAGTTCTACAGCCTGGACAGCCAGATGCCCGTCTGGGGAGTGAGGCAGGTGCACTGTGGGGCCGAGATCCTGCGAGTGACACTCTACTGCAGTTTTGACAACTACGAGGATGCCATCAGACTCTACGAGCTGATCCTGCAGAAGGACGCCACCTTGCAGAAGAGCAACTTCTGTTTCTTTGTGCTCTATGCCACCGAGAGCTTTGCTCTGCAGCTGTCCCTGAAGCAGCTGCCCCTCGGGATGTCAGTGGACCCCAAAGAGTCTTCAGTGCTGCAGTTTAAGGTCCAAGAGATTGGCCAGTTAGTGCCTCTTCTACCCCATCCGTGCGTCCCCATCAGCCGCACCAGGTGGCAAACACAGGACTATGACGGCAACCAGATTCTGCTTCAGGTATTCCTGTTTTGCCTCTCATCTTTGTAGACGCACATGGCACTGTGTGATTTTATGTCTGAGATGGGCCTTAGCGATGATCCGATGCAGTGGTTCTCAACCTTGGTGGCACGTCACAATCCCCCGGGGAGCTTGGCTTGGAAAACGTCTCCTGCCACAGCAGCACCCCAGGTCAGTGAGACTGGCGTCTCCGGGGGCGCCTTGGACGACTCAGATATGTAGCAAGTGTCAGGGTTGAGCGTCAGTGGGCTAATAAAATCCCCTCATCTGACAGATAAGGGAGTTCAAGCTCCGTGAGCTTGTAGCTTATACAAGATTGTCCTTTAAAACTGCACGCAAATACTTGGCCCACTCTTGGTTCAGAAATAGTGTAAGCTCCTCCCATCCGACCTAAGGAAGCTCAAGCTGTAATTATAGTTGGGGATGTTAAGTTTGCAGTCCTGTGGACGTAATATTTTCCCTGTTGACTTATTTAGTTTTCTTTTTTATTTAATTTGAGAAAGAGAGAGAGAGCGTGTGCACGCGTGAGTAGGGGAGGGGCAGAAGGAGAGAGAACCTTAAGCAGGTTCCACATCCAGCATGGAGCCCGACCCGGGGTTCGATTCTACAACCCTGGTGATCATGATCTGAGCTGAAATCAAGAGTCCGATGTTCAACCGACTGAACCCTCCCAGGTGCCCCTTGAAAAAGCTCCTTGAGAACACTTGACCTCATTTTCAAGCACCTTGTATCTCTGTCAAATTCTACCCCAAATCAAGCTAGATGGTTCGAACTCCTTTAAAAAATAATCTTGATATAAAAGCCTTCTGTAAGCATCCCCTATAAGCCAAGCACCATCCTGATAGCGATCATGTGGCGTCTTTTGTGGAGTATTCTCTTCCGGGTGAGCCTGGCACCTAGAAGCTGCCTGGCTTAGTCTGGGTTTCTTCATTAGCACAACAAAGGTAATATCAACATCTTCCTAGAGTGTGGGTTGTTGTGCACACGAAATGCCTTAACACTTAATGCCCACAATGCAATTTTAACTATTATTATTGATTAAGGCCTAGACTAATGTATTACATTGATTACTTCATTTAATTCTTATTTAAAATTTTTTTTAACGTTTATTTATTATTGAGAGACAGAGCATGAGCGGGGGAGGGGCCGAGAGACAGGAAGACACAGAATGTGAAGCAGAGAGCTGTCAGCACAGAGCCCGACGTGGGGCTCGAACTGACAAACTGTGAGATCATGACCTGAGCCGAAGTCGGACGCTCAACCGACTGAGCCACCCAGGTGCCCCATTCATTTAATTTTTATAACAACCTAGGAAATCACTATTTTTCCCATTTTGCAGATAACAAAACTGAGGGGGAGAGATTCTCAGTGAATTGCCTCATGCAATTCACTCATGCAATTCACTCATGCAATTCACTCAAGACAACTCATGCAATTCTCCATTCTTATCCAGTGCTCTGTGAGTGTGCATGCTTGTGTAAGTGTGTGCAGGCAGGGCACGATACTCACAGCAAAATGTTCTGTGGCTTCTGTCCTTGAGAAATGGTCAGAAACCCCTTTAAGGCCGATTGGGTACAGTAATAACAGGACAGAAGACAAAAAGTCTTTCCCTTTGATTAATTTTGTTGTCATCAGCTTTGAGCTATTAATAACATATGAATCATAGTGATTCTGTGTTAAAAGATTTCTAAATTATTTACTTCTTGTTCACCTAAGGTGGACAGGTACTCTTTCTGTCGGTTGCCTTGTAATTAACCCAGCAATTTCCAAGGCATCTAAAGTTTCTGCTTCAGCCCCGGTTAATCTCTGGAATTTATAATCAACCTCACTGCCAAACAAACATTTAATATGTGTGTGCAGCAGGGGGCACATTTTTTAAACTGTTCTTATTTTCAAGATTAAGCCAACCAACTCGGATCTAAACCAATTTCTCTAACCAATTCTCTTCTCTAAACCAATTTTTGCATCCAAGGGAATGGGATCATGGGGGTTAGTATACTTCTCAGGCAGAGGCTGATTTTCTGTGAAGTCAGACCCTCCTGGGACTCACAGGGGAGGGTCCGGGACTCACAGGGGAGGGTCAGGGACCCCCAGTGAAGATCGTAGGGAAACAAATGCCCGGCGGCCCAGATGACTGATGTTGACCAAAAGAAAGAAAATAATACGTATTCAGTGGAAAACCATAACTACGGATTCACCTCTCCACAAATAACCCTTCCTCAGCGCCGGAATGGATGTGAGTGTGTGGGCGGGTGATGGGCAAAGCTTCCTGAGGAGTGATACCTGGGCCTCCTGAAGCTGGACAGCCCGGAAGGAAGGAGCCAGATGGAGAAGGGAGGAAGGTGTTATAAAGAGGAGAGACCGTGGGTGACAATGTGTGATGTGGCATTTCCTTGGCAGGGCATGTAAAAAAACACACACAAAAAACAAACAAAAAAAACTGCCCAAGGTTCTGTGTGGCTGGGGTGAAGAGAGTGGGGTCACGGGAAGAAGATGAGAGGTAGGTGGGACCACATCATCAGGAAAATGGTCAGCCACTGGAAGGTAAGCACCATGAGAACAGGAACCTCTGTCTTCCCAGTACCTAGGACGGCCCGGCGCATGGTAGGCAAATACATTCTCGTGCGGACGAACAAGTGTCTCGCTAAGGAGCTTCTATTTTATCCTTATTGTAATCAGCAGTCACTGATGGAGCCCGTGCGTGGTACTGACTGGTACAATTAGGTATGAGGATCAACAGAGAGAAAATAGAAATGGAGGTGCTCTGTAAAGTGGACGCTGTAGGAGATTGTGCAGAAGCAATACAATTCTTGTGTGTGTGTGTGTGTGTGTGTGTGTGTGTGTGTAAGAAAGCCACCAGCTGTCCTGCCAGAGGCACACAGTGAACAGTTGTTTTCCCAGCTGACCTGCCAGTGCAGAATGTCTGAATGCGCATTTTTGCGGAGAGTGACATTAGGGCTCATAGTAGGTGCTCAGTAAATGAATGGATGTGTCAATAAACGATTGACTATGTCCAGGTTGATTCACCCACCAAATACTTTTTTACTTTTTTTTAAAGTTTATTTATTTTGAGAGAGAGAGAGAGAGAGCGAGAGCACGAGCAGGTGGGGGGCAGGTAGAGAGAGAGGGACACAGAGAATCCTAAGCAAGCTCTGTGCGGTACCGTGCACGGAACCCAATGAGGGACTTAAACCTACGAAGCCGTGAGATCAGAACCTGAGCCTAAATTAAGAGTCGGACGGTGAACCCACTGGGCCACCCAGGTGCCCCTCATTCACCAAATACTCGTATTGATTGTCTACCCTGCACCGGAACCTGTTTAGGCCCCGCTCTCCATTTGTCTTAGTCCTTTTATTATTTATTTATTTAAAAGAAATTTTTTAATGTTTCTTTGTTTTTGAGGGAGAAAGACAGAGCCTGAGTGGGGGAGGAGCAGAGAAAGAGGGAGACACAGAATCCGAACGCCGGCTCCGGGCTCCGAGCTGTCAGCACAGAGCCCGACGCCGGGGGTTGAACTCACGGGCCATGAGATCACGACTGAGCCGAAGTCGGAGGCCCAACCAACTGAGCCACCCAGGCGCCCCTGTCTTAGTTCTTAACGGCTGCCAATGTACGGTGGCTTGATTCTTCCCTTCCCCCTTTAGCGGTGCTTTGTCCTTGCA